GTAACCTCGGGATCTTGGATCTGAACTCCAGTGGGTGCGTACTGGTGAAGAGTCCCAGACTAGAATGGAGTAGCCTCCTAGTACTCTATGGCTTTCCAGTGGTTCTCTGACTTATGGTTAGACCTGATTTTTAATTGGCAGTTACTTCCTATAACCCAGTTGCGATGGTGTACTTGGCGACTGATTCATCACAGGGGCGCCATGGCTTCGAATCTTTTGCGAAACACAACCCAAATATTCGTCTTGCCACTTTATTGAATCATCCTAGCTGAAAAGTCAGAGTCTCTTAAACCCAAGGTAGAAGAGACTTACCTGAGTAGTACCAGTTTCTTGCTGAGCAGTTTTCTCAATATGTAAATTTTCTATTTAAAATAAAAATATGCCACAGAAATTATATAATAGTCTTCTGAAGACCTACTTGAATAAAGAAAGAATAAGGGATCACGAAAAGGAAATCGCTTTCTTATTTTCATTGAAATTACTTTACACCTACCTACCTGCCTGCCTACGTATACACGTACACACACACATCTGCGTGTCCTGGTAAGGCTTCCTTTAAGTCATTGCAAGAAGAAATATGAGCTGTTTTCTTACAAATCTCTCTTGTTTATGAAATAATAATAATACTGCGTAGATTCAGGTATACATACCGAAAATATCATTATCCTTATTATCATTATTAGTATTGTTATTATTATTAAGTTGATAATTTTGAAAAAGAAATGAAAAATAGTTCTTAATGAAAGTCACTCACGATAGACTGGTTATATTGTAATCAAAAACAGAAATCTTTGTTTCACTGGTATAAGGGTGAAATTAGTCAACATTATGTTGTTGTTGTTGTTACTGTTTGATCTATCCTAAAGAAAAAGAAAAATCTGTGTGTGTTTGACTGAAATTAACACTAGAGTGTACAGTATTCCAAGATGTGAGGAAAGGAGAATGATGCTCAGGAGGGCTTCGTGTGCTTTTAGAAGTGTGTGGGCGGTTGGTACTTCCCATGTAAGTTGATGCATTCTTGAGGTACTTGAAACAGAAAGAGAGTTAGTGTTGCGTGTGACCGCAGAGTCCAGGTGAAAACTGTTTGAAGCCAGTCACACACGGGGTGTATCAACTGGTTTCTTGGATCGGTTTTGTATTAGTAAATTTACCGGAGGTTACGGACCACCGTAGGGTAATTCGGGAGGTACAGTATTTAAGGTTGACTTTTTCTAACCCCCTCTCGAGAGAGTGGAGAGGCAGCATAGCTGGCTGGCATGTTGGTCACCTGAGGGAAACACCTTACTGCTGTTCCCCAGTAGTACGATTTCTTATACTGTGCCGGTAACTGCTTTTATCCTAACAACCTTCCTGGCGTGGTATGACATACTGGAACAATAGTTGCAGCCAGTGCAGCTTGTTGGGTCATTGCAATGTGCAAGCCTGGCCACCACGTCAAGGTAGTAGCTATCGTTCTTAATGGCATCAACAACTTGTAACTTATAATATCCAATAAGACGCTATTGTTCTTCCATATTACTATTCTTTTCGTCTCATATCTCTGTTTACTGTCTCTATTTTGTATTCTCTTTTAATCTCTTCTCTTGCTTTGTGTGCTACATGGAGTGTGGTGACTCGGTGCAAAGTTCTACGTTGAAACCAGTCGTCAGTCAGTATTTCTTGGTGCAAAGGAACGGAGGTGTCCAAGAGAAAGAATTGCTCACTTGGCGAACACTGAGAATTCTGCATGATTAATAGCGATCTTCATCCATATCATACCAAAAGTCGCAAGCCAGCCAGCCAGCCAACCAAGCAATCTACGTGGTTGACTCAAACCAACTGTCAAAGACTCCACAGATTGATATCAGGGTTTGACCACTCCTACCTAACTCTTTTCAGCCACCATTACTTGTCGAGCAAGGTTGTGATTCGGCATGCACAACATGTGTCCTAGCCATCTCTATCGATCTGTCGTACATGTCTGACTAACCGAGTTTCAGTTTAGAACAGTCCAAGTTGCATGTGTATTATTTGGAGACGAAGTTACTATTGAAAATGAAAATTCAATAGGATTGCTCAAATTAGAGAAATAAAGTTCAGGATTTTGTGTGTTTGGAAAACTAAATAAACACAGGTAACCATACTACGTTTCTGTATCGGTGGTTCAGCATAGTTGTGCTAGCCAATCACCATCGTACATTGTCCAAGGTTCGATTCCCGCCGGCCTACTTGATCCTAAACCTCATCTGGCCATTTATAAGCCCAAACAAAAGAGGGAGGGTTGGGCATGATGTTTGTAGGCCAATCAGTCTCTGGGACCCAACTTAGTTACTTAAGAATTCCAACCTCTTACAATTCGCGATATATATATGGCACAGCCGCTAGCCAAAGTCACTTGGGGCCAGCTGTCCTCCTCCCTGACTGGTGAACAGTCAGAAATTAGGACGACACAGCTGTCCAGTACTTACTGCTGGTTCTTCATCAGTTCTCCAACTGATGTCAGTTAGTGATCACATCTGTAACCAATCAAATTCGTGCAAACGAACACTTGAAATGCATCATTCAGACGATCACATTTTACCACAATCAGCACGAGTAATTCTCCGAATATCGTGTAAATCGGTGAATGATGGATGACACGTGGCTCTCTCTCTCTCTCTGTTTGTGATCACACTCAGCTGCCTATTTAGGTCATCTTCTCTTATCAGTCCGAATCGCATTATACTAAATTAGATCGAAGGAGAGAAGAGAGTAGACTGTTATTTGATGGTTAGACGGGGATCTCAGATAGTCTTGTGACTAAGCAAACTCTGGCTATTGATATAAAAGGTGATGTATCTTTGTGAAGGTGGTGAAATGAAAGTCTGTGTTGATTTGGTGGGATTCGAACCCATGGGGCTAATAAGGAATTGCTAGGGGACTGACGGACTAGTAATTCCTAACTGTTAGGCTTTTCCGGGCTAGTTACACTACTAACTTACAAATGAGTAGTAAGTTTAGAAAAGAGTAATAATTTGGATCGGTGGTCGAATTTTCGAATGTTAGCTGACCACCAACGCAAGTGGCTAGGAATTCGATCCCCAGCTGCCAAGTCACTGATAAACCGCGCCTAGCCCCTACCTAATAAGGCATGTAAAAAAGAAAGGTTGGACGTGTGGCCAGCGAAACAACACCGCTACTGGAAGAAGCCGTATATTCTGCTCACGATGCAAAGTAATGAGAAGAAAAACTATGATGACAATAAAAGTTCGGTAATTTCCAAATTCCCATTGACGCATTTAGAAAAAACAACTGATTGAGCAGAGAAATATATTCCTTTTCAAGTAGTTCCTCATCATCGTCTCTACACTAATATATAGTTTCTTTACATCAAAATTTTATACCTGTTCAATAATGAAATGTATAGAAAATCTGATGGTGTTGCCATGGGATCACCACTAGGCCCAATCCTACCAGATTTTTCGCTGGAGAAACTGCAGGATAGTCCACTTAAAGATGTAATACATAATCTTGATTTCTATTGCCGATATGTTGATGATACATTTATAGTTATTAAGAAAGAAAGTGAGGCTAAGGACATATTGGATAAATTCAGTAGAGCACATCCCAGTATAAGCTTCACTAAGGAAGAAGAGAAGAAAATGACTCTATCCCCTTTTTGGACGTCCTGATGACAAAATGAACAGACGGAACAATATGTAGATGTTTGTATAGAAAACCTATTTCCACTGGACAATATATTCACTCCCTGAGTTTTGTACCTCCACAATACAAACGTAATCTGCTTAGATGTCTGGTTCACCGGGCTAGAGTTGTATGTTCAAATGAGACACTGAACGAAGAACTCGGTAATATTCGCAATCTACTAAGCAGAAATGGATATCCAACTAAATTTGTAAACGAACACATGAACTCAGAAAGTAAAAAGTAGAAGTTGCCGACTGTTCCCAAAATATTAGTCTTCCTAAGATTACAATTCATGGGTGATGTCAGTAGTGAGATGTTATCACAACGTATGAGAAGGGCCTTCAAAAGGACTTTCAACGCAGCTAAGCTTTGCTGTGTATTCACCAGCCGACCAATACTTAGTCCAATAAATAAAGACAGACTTCCCTGTTTCGCCTCTTCCATGTGTATTTACCAGTTTAACTCCCCGTGCGGAGCTAGTTGCATAGGGCGTAAGAACAGGCGAGTTCATCGTTGAATTTCTGAACGCCTCACATTTTGGTTTGGCAAAAGTTCGAATAAAGTTATACAAAGCTCAATACTAGCTCATATCGTTGATACTGACTGGACATCAAATCGACTCTAAAGTTATTTATCAACCGTATATCACCGAACGAATACGACTTTTACATATAGCAGAGGTAATCGGATTTCATCTGACCAAGCCAAATCTATGTGCATCCAAAAGAAATTTATACAGCTCCTTTCTTTGACATGGCCAACTACATAATATATATTAAGTTTTTAAAAACGATTCCCCCTTCCCCCCACTGTAACTATCTTTCGATTTTGTTAATTTTTACAATTCTAGTCAATTCTATCAACCTGTTTGTATTATACGTAATCTCACTGACTCCTCCTATTCTTCTTAGTCATCAATGCTATTTTACAAATTTCTTGATTATGTAATAACTTGTTGCCAACACCAAGGAATCAACCTATCTTGAATTCCGTAATTAATTAATGTTCACCTCTCTTTTAAAAATTGGATATCTTGTTACCAACATCTGTTGGTCATTCGTTTTGATGACCTTTAACCTCCTGACTTCACCTCATCCCGCCGCCTATATCTAAAACTGATGGACTAAAATAACAAGTTGATTGGTGAAACATTTTGATGTAAAGAAACTGCATTTTAGAGTAGAGTCAACCAACGGTGAGGAACTAATTGAAAAGGAATGCATATTTCTTCGCTCAATCTGTTTTTTTTTCTAAATAAAAGAAGTTTGCCTTGTTTACTGATATTTAACATGTTCTATGCACTGGCCTCACTTACTATTTTTTTCTCTGTGCAGTTCGAGACTTCAAGACTGTCAACTTGCTCTGGGGAATCTTATTCATATCACTACAGGACCCTTAGTGATACTGTCAAGTTCATTCTGTTTCAGTCAAATTGCTAATTTATCTACACAAGCTTTAGATGGTCTATTGAAAGCAACATTTCTCCATTATCCAGAGTTCGCTACAAGTTTCAATCCAGATTTATGGACAGAAAAACTTCTTCTGTTCTCTAACATATTACAGGCAAGTTATTATTATTATTCCCTTGCGTTTCGAGTGGAACATAGGGCTTCAACAACATATCTCCACATTGTTCTGTTTTCTGCCGTTCTCTTCAGCTGGCTAGCCACACGATTGACCAAACTCTCTCATCTCCTCCTCCCCACACGATCTCCTCCATGTCACCCTAGGACCACAGACCAACTCGTTGCTTCCTATTTGGATTAGACTCGATGACCTGGTGTACAATGTCATTTAGCGACCTCCTCAATGTATTCCCAATTAATCCATCTCGATTTTCTCCTACATATTTGTTGAGCGATTGGCTCTTGCTTGTTGGTTTGTTCTCAGGCAGCCAGAGTTTCTTGTTACTAATTCTTTCTAGCCAGCCATTTTATCTTGAGTATGGAGCTGGCCAGCGATGGTGTTAGCTGTTGATAAAAGTCGTTAACTGGCTGTTGGAAATCGTATTCGTGATGCACTGGCCATGTTTGTGACCCGCATAAAAGAAATGACCGACTTAGCATTGGTGTCGAAAATCCTATTCATTCTTGTTCTTTATGCTGAGGCGGGGTGCAGAAAATTTCCAAAATGGTACTCAATAGATGATAAAAAAAGATTCTTCAATACTCATTGGCTTTATGTGATCCATTTGGTCAAGCTGGTCTCTGATATCGAATTGTTAATGCTATCACTGCACCACTGTTCCTAAGCACGAGACACTGATGTCCTATAGCAATGGCCAAAGATAACTGGCTCCACAGGACCAGATTTTAGAAAATAATATTATTTACTTACTAATTTCAGTTTTTTTGAAATTTTCCTGTCCATCGATTGTATTTCCCAGGAAGAAAACTTCTCTGTTTTTTTTCTGCAGTCTATTCACAGGTGCTTACCGAAAATATTTTTCACTGAATCAAACAATATCGGTTCGTGTGAACAGTTATCACGATTTGCAAAGTACATTACAGATGATGATTCCATGAATTTAGATATTTTAGCCTCATATGTAAATCTACTCACTACAGCGATAACAAAACTGCCATCGGTTGAATTGTTGTTGACCCAGTCGCCCTCCTCTTCAACGGGATCGTTATTTGGACATGGCAATTGGGAAGTTGAGAAGAAAAAATTCGTCAGTGTTATCTATTATGCTTTGCCGAATTTATGCTTAGCTATTGGAAAAGCTTGGCTCTGCTTAAACTGCTCAAGTCAACTGATGTAAGTTGTGATGGTGTTATTGAATTGTCGTTCAATTAAAAAAAGTTCGTGTTTCTGTCATCTCAAGCAGTTGACGATAACAGGGCTGATTGAACAAATTAAACAGATACAAACGTTTTGTGCTGTGCATTATTATTATTGTTTCCTTTAATTCCTAGAGGAACATAGGGCTTCAGCCGTGCGTCTCCATTGCGTTCGGTTCTCTGCTAGATTCTTCACCTGGCTTCAAATCTGCCCACACGTTTCCATCTCCTCTTCACATGACCTCCTCCATGTCACCCTTGCACTGACGACCAACTCGCCGCTTCCCTTTCGGGTTCCACTCGAGCAATTGTTTATCTAGTGATGTCACTTGATGGTTTCCTCATTGATATGTTTATGAACAATAACAATTTGTGTTCGAAACTTTGTCATTCAGTAAATAGTAATACTGTTTCACTGTGTGATATATCTAATAAACAAACTAATATGGAAAGTTTGTCTTGCTCTCCCTATCCTTGCTTTCATATCCTCGTCAGTTCCGCCTGTAGTTGAAACGATGCTTCCCAGGCAGGTAAAAGAGGTTGTTTCTTTCAGGTTCCTTCCATTTATGCTGATTGTTGTCTGTTGTTGTTGTTGCCCAGGAATCTTCATCACCTCTGTTTTCTCTATGTTCACCTGAAGTCCTATCTTTGATGCTTCTTCTGCTAACTTGTTGCTTTTCGCTTGCATATCTTCCAGTTTGTGGGAAATCAGACATATGTCATCATCGGCGAAGTCCAGATCCTCCAAGTTCTTTTTTGTGTGAGTCCATTTTATGCCTGTTTCCTCATTGCCCGCTGTCTGTCGCATTATCCAATCTACTGCAATCAGGAAAATCACTGGTGATAGTAGGTAGCCTTGTTTTACTCCTGTCCTTCATTGGTCATTCAAAAAGTGCTTTCTGGTTTTCAATAGTTGTCTGAGTGACCGGTTAGTGACGAAACCCAACCTTCTAAAAACAACAGAGTTTATTTGGTTAACTTTTTTCACTTGATGTTGGCCTGTTCTCAATTTTTGTGAGGCAGAAACCCATTCTCCTGGCATACATGTCTCTGTGTACCAGAATAATGCAGACACAACTAGTGTAACTGTGAAGGAAGCCAAACATTCAGATATAGTATTCGGTTGATAATAATGATTCTCAGTATGGAATCTGGAATGTGCAGTTCTTGGTCAGTCGGCTAGATATATCTGCATTCCCCCCCCCCCCCCGTCAAATGAGTGAATGATAGTGACACCATTCAGACTCAAGCTCAAAACCAGTCATCGTTTGAGACGCCAAGGCTTTGTAACTTAAGTGTCCGTGTTAGAAGCCGCTGACATGACAACATCTTCAGCACAAACGTCAGTATAAAGTGTGAACTTGTTTGGATTCCTTCTCCATGAATGATATAACTATATCTGCTGACACCCTTTGTCGTGATTAATTATTAATTTGCATGAGTAATGATGTTTCTGTTGACTTGGAATTCGACGTTTTTGCTTTGTGACTGATTCTTTATTACTTGATAAATTTGATCTATATGTGTCGGTTGATCCCTGATTCATCTGATTAGCTGGCTTCTCAGAAATTAACTTGCTGACATTTTTTAGTAATTCCACTGTCTAAAATTTCTACTTTTTTCCCAGTCGAATTGATGTCCAAACAATTTTGTTTGCATGCACTGATACTAAGCAGGAATGCACGTCGTGTCTTTTGACAGCTAGTTTATGTACTTGAACTCAGAGTCGAAAAGGACTCCCACTGAACTTTGCTCCTATTTAATTATTTTCAATAACATGTAAGGAAGTCATCATATATGAAAATATATATATTCAGTTTTGAACGGACTGATTTTATTTCTGCAACTGTAAGCTCTGCGTAAAGATTCCCGATTATTCGAATACTTAGTTACCTCAAACCATAAAAAATATTATAGGTTTCCAGGCCGTAGGTGTTACGAACTTCCTGGGATAATAATTTGAGCACCGAGTCAGATTGATTCATTATAAATTATTTAAATTAATCTCAGAATATATTGAGTTTACTAATGAAATAGAATCGGCTGAGGGAACTCTAAACTTTCTTGATTGTCATGTAAAAAGACAAACTGACGAGAAACTAAAGTTTACCATATACAGAAAGCCGACACATTCCAACAAGTATTGGAATTTCCAAGCAGATCATCCAATAGGAATGAAAGTTTCAGTAGCTTTAAATCTCGTTAACAGAGCTAGAAACATTATAACAGATAATGACGATATGGAGAACGAGATATCCAACATAAAACAGATTTTGATTGGAAATGGTTATCCTGAAAAGCTACTAGGTAATATTATCAATAAAAAGGAGCATAAGGGAAAACAAAAAATTTTAAAATCCTGGCTATCGACGATAGCCATCCCATATCGAAAGGACACAGCTGAACAACCTCAAAGACTATTTGCCTCATATATATTAAAGTCTATGTCAAACCTAATTCTCTGGAGAAAGCGCTGGTGCATGTCAAAGATATAGTTCTCAGAATGTCACAAAGTAATTGTGTCTACAAGATAAAGTGTTCAGAATGTGATGCATGCTATACAGAGGAGAGCAGTAGGCAGGAGAAGGTCAGAGTGAATGAACATAGACTATGCACGAAACGTCCACCTAGAAATGAAGTAGAACTAAAAAGTCTAGAAAAAAGATCGGCTATAGCAATGCATGCTATAGACAGCGGACATAAGATTGATTTCGACAATGTCGAAATTCTTGGAAGAGGATTTCATTCACATAAAGAAAGATTGACTTCTGAAGCCTTGCACATCTTAACCACATCGAATGCAGTGAATAGGAAAGAAGGGATAGACTTATCACCTATATGGCAAACTCTAATGAAGCAAGACAGATGAAAAAACAATAAACACTCTATGAGCCTCCATGACCTTTTAAAACATGTAGGATCATGTTTATCACATATGAATTCACGTATTTTCCACATGACAAATAACATACACACACATACACACTCATACAAAACTAATCTGTACAAATTAACTATAGAAGAGTGAACACAACAACAACTTGACATTAGTCATTACAAATATATGTGATGACTGCTTACATATTTTCTATTGGTAAAAATGTCCATGGACAAATGACTTCAACTTATGTAAAAAAATTTTGACTATATATTTTGATGATTAATAAAAATCCGAATAAATCTGCTGAAGAAGCTGTGGCTTACACAGCGAAACGTTCAGAAAACAGATCTTGTTTTGATTCTTTCTTAAACACGCTGGGATTAATTTAAATAATTTATAATGCATAAAAAAATTGTTATTTATTCCTGGAATTGCGAGTACAACACAGAGAATGTCAGCAGCGCAGCATATCCCTACGTTGCACTCTGCCATCCCACTCTTTCAGCTGTATTATCTCCGACTGCTTGCTGTCTAGAAATAAAATTTAATCGTCTAAGTATCAGGTTAAGCGAGTCCGCTATTCATTGGTGATATATTTACTAGCCATGCACACGGTCTGCGTTCAATTCGCAGACGATGCACTTTTGGAAAATCTAATCTAGCTCACTAGCGGGTGGTTGGCCCGAAAAAGAAGGAAGGTTGGGCGGCAGAGCGCTCCTTCACACCCCGTAAACGAAATCTACACTATCGCCACTGGACCATCAATTAGCTTGAAGTCCTATTAATTACTTAGAACTCGAGGAAATGTGAAAACGATAGCTCGGTGGCACAGTGGTTAGGACTCTCGCCGACCATGCACATGGTCCGGGGTTCGATCCCCTGCCAGCGCACACCCGATATCTATGGTCAGCCTGAATTTGGGCTACCGATATCCATCTATTAATACTAAATCTACAAATATAAAATAATAATAATTTTTTTCACTACATTTTCAGAAATATTAGTGTTTTCGACTTTCTCAATTCCAAAGAAGAAGACTGCAATTTATTTACAAAGAAACACTGTACAAATGATACTGTCACCTTTTCTTATGACCTAATTCTGTTTACTTTGAATTTATTAAAAGGCTTATTTAATTTAGTACAAATCAATTATTTAAAAAAATATTTTTCCACACAAAAGACTGTCGTTGTTAATTACATTTATTCACTGTTATATTTATCAAAATGTTTGATATATTGTTCAAGTCTAGTCTATCCACCGATAACCTCAAAATGTATATTATATATCATACGTATTATTGGTTGTTTATGTTCTCATGGGATTGAAACTATCGAGGACAACAGCGACAACAATCACACCTCAGAATCAAGTCAAATCATTAATCACCGTGATAATAATAATAATAACTCGTTGATTTTATTACATAATCTCCTTCTTTTCATTAACTGGTATCATCAGTACAGGTGTTCATGGTCTATGTGTGGTTTAGAATTATGCTGGTGTTTAAACAACTTTCTACAATACTTCAATCTATCACTGTTCAATGATCAATTGTCAAGAGATGGCGTCAATTGTTTTATTGACTCACTTTTGTTTAAATTATTCACGTTAGAATTAGGCGGTCATATGAATGCGAGTAGAGAAGTATTGATTTTATTGGATACATGCATTCAAACAAGCGAATGTAGTAATAGTAATAATAATAAAAGTTATGCATACTGGTTATTAAAAAGGATAACAAGTCAATTAAATTATCATTTAAAATCATTATTTCTGTTTTGGAAATATTTAAATGACAAAAACTATTTATCTGACCATTATGATTGTTGTTATATTGAAACATTTGTATATTTGATAAAATTTTTATCAGATTTACGCTTATTTTTTAACGGTCAAGACTACCTTGAAGAAAATTGTGATATACTTGCAAAATTATTCTCAGTGTGTCATGATCCTATAACACTATTGTCATCAGTGTCAAAGTCATTATCGTTAGATGAAACTATAGCGTTAATATGCTCAGTGAATTCTTGTAATGACATATCATCCTATATCATATCGATAGTTAATCAGTTTTGATAATTGTAATATTTAATATGCGAAAAATTTTGATTTTACTGCTTTTTTTGCATAGATGTATTTTGTATATTTTGTTAATCAGGTTTTTATTAAATAAACAGAAATATTAAAGGTTTTTTTTAAAATTTTCTTCTCAACATTATGGTTTTTATTCACCTTTTATGATACTTAGTGGAAAATAGATCCTATCAAAAGCATATTCCTTAAAATGACATTCGCTACAGAGTGTTTCCCAGTTGGCCATTACTGTCCAATAAAGCTGAAAGATAAGATCAGTCAGTTGGCCAACTCTAGGTATGTTCCAAGTTTAATCACGAATTGACATCAGTTAGAAAACAGGAGTTTCATCCTATTCTGGAACTCTTCATCCGCATGCACCCATGACCTCGCCGGGGATCGAACTCACGACCTTTAGGTTACGATGTCAGCTCATCGACCATTCCAGTCACTAGGACGGAATCGCATGACCCATGAATTCTAACTTATGTCAGTTCACGGCGTGTGCGTTTATCAATTCACCTACACCTGTGGATCTAGGTATATCTGTCGCTCGTTGCGGGTTTCGTTCAAAACGGTGCAAGAGCGCTATCCTACGTTGTTGAACAGAGATAGGAGTACTACTGCGAGAAGCGTAATTTCTACCTTGGCCTCTTTTTGTCTATCCATCCTGTATTATTTTCATTGTTTTTGGTGCGACAGGTTGTTGACTGGCCCAATTGCTGAACAAAGTTTCTTATTGCCTTATCCTTAATGGCTGACTATCTAACTCTCAGCATCCAGGTAGCCGGAAAGGGGATAGATGTGAGTGAACCATATAGAAGCAGCAATCGTTAACTTGACAATAGTATTACTGAGAACGAAAATAGTTATCAAAATGAATAGGCATTGGAAGTTCTGACGTGAAGAGAGTTGTTAATTGATCAAAACAATGCCTACAAGTTTCTGATATTAATTGGCGGGAGGTTGGATGAAAGAGAACACAGTCGGCTAAACTGCGTTCACCCTACAGTTTTCTGCTATTCTTAGAGAGTTCAACTTTTCTTTTATTATAGCTTGACTTCACACAGTATTTTTGATACAGGTATGGAATTTTCATCATATGATATTGGTAGCCCAAATTTAGCAGGCCGACCATTGATACCGGGTGTGCGTCGGCCGGGGATCGGTCCCCGGACCATGTGCATGGTCGACGAGCGTCCTAACTGCTGTGCCACCGACGCACTGGTGAAATATATGTGAAATCTGTACTCAAACAAACTGCTGGTGGTAAATGCAGTAATACGACGATAGTCTTGCGTATTTTAACGTCGTTGATCTGCGACATGTCATAACTGACAGTACTGATAGTCAGTTGGGTGTCCCTTTTTTTAAAAAGCGTTGTATTTGAAGGGTTTGCAGTGATTCACCTTTCAGCGCAGATAAACTCCGTCTCAAAAATACGGCTATCCGGTTTTTAGATCATTTCAGTGAGATCGATAGTGGTGTGAACCACACAACTGCTTATTACGGCTACAGGTGCTGTCTAAATCTAAAATGAATTGCAGAAAGGCTAAAAGTTATAATTTAGCCAGAAAGAATTACGTACAAGGAATTGTCAACAACATTGAATAAGACCTTCTAGATAGTATGAAACTGCACCGACTTTAGTTAAGTAATTCAGTGATGTGCGAAATTCACTCCACCTTGTGAAAGGCTGAATTAAGTGAACGAACCTGATTTGCAACCAGAACCAACTGACTGTGAAGTCAAATACTAAGATAGGCGAATCAGTCACATAACTATGTTACCTATAAGCATTGCCTGAACTTGATTAATCCATCCACCCTCAACTCTAAACTCGCCAACCTATCTCTTCCGCTTGTTATCCAGGTAGTGGCTCTCAGAAATTTAATTGATTTCAAGTTAGACGGCGAACTGACATATCACTTAGAGAACCATTGAAAACGTGGAGTACTGGATAGTGAATTTCCTCCCGATAGCCACTTTGGAGTACTAGTGAGGTATGACCAGTATGGTGGTCCACTGAGTTGGGTATAATGAGAGATACTTGCCAACGACATTAACTGGCGCGAGCGTAAAAGTAAGAATTCACGGACTAATCTCGCTTGGAAAAACTGAAGGTCCTAGATTCGATCCCCAGTGGTGCGGTCATGGGTACCAATTGCTCAAGAATTCAGAACCAGGATGAAACAACTGTCTAGCAACTCTATAGTTTTCAGTGGTTCTCTATTATTGTTATTGTCATTACTGTTTCCTTGGATTCCGATCGGAACACAGGACTTGAACAGCACATCTCACCCGTTACCGATTCTTGTGATCAGTCAGCGAAATCAGTCGTACAGGAGGTCAATCGTCAACCCGAATATCTTTGTGATGACACCTCTGATTACAATACTCAGTGATCCGGATTCAACCCCCCCAGGGTAAGAGCAGGACACCAATCATTACAACGTGACACCGATTACTTACTTCCCAGTGACCGATCACTACAAAGCCTACCGATTACAGATAGATACTGCCTATCAAAAGTCGTGGATTACAGTTCATTTCAGCTAATTCTACTTCATATGTTTCAACAAAATCTTTTTTTGTTGTAATATACAGATTTTTTAAATACGCCATAGCGAAGAACACCATCGAGTTTGGGATACATGTGATACCGAGCTACTGATCAATTGGAACTGGGTACTGCGCAGAAGTTCGCTGCATCCTACCTTACGGAGACATGGTTGTTCAAAGTGGAGGATTTAAAGAGGCTAGCTATTTGTGAACGTATGTGTCTCAACGCTATCTTTTGTGTCCACTTGGGTAGACGGCCCTCGACTGGTTGCATCAAAGGATGACAGTGCATGCTGTTCCGGTCTCTCAAGAGTCTGGGATGAGTGTGTTCATTTCTCCTGGAAATCAGTGTATAATTACCCAGTCAATAGGTTTATCATTATTTTACCCTCGCCTAGTTTACTAGTTAATTAGACAGTCCTAAGCCTGAGAAACAGGATAGTTGGATAAACCTTCAGCGGAAAATCAACCTAGTCGCTATGGTGACTTCAAAGCACAGAAAATATCTAAAGAAAAAACTTATTCTCCATTGGATTCGGAGAGACGGAATGATGCAGCCCTTCGGGAAGCGACTCAGGTGTATCCTCTTTCACAGAAAACAAAAATAAGCATTGAGACAAGGAATATCCGCACAACTTTTGAAGCTGGGATGGCTGCTCAGAATGCCAAAGAAATGAGAAGATACGGCATGGAAGTGGTCAACATCTGTGACTACCGAATGCAATAAAAGTGGACTCTCCATTTGTATTTTTCTTTTGCCCTCCACATGGAAAAAGCAGCAGCGGAGGTTTTCTACAGGATGGTGTAACTAGTATGATACCCAACTTTTCTACTTTTTTTCCGCTTTTACAGCAAGTTAAATGAGGTTAAGAAGTTAATCGGCAGTCGGGTATCGAAACCCGGTCAACGTGCATGGTTTTTTTGTTTGTTGTTTTCCTTCACGTTCCGCAGCGGAACAGAGGGCTTCAAGCATGTGGCTTGAAGTTTCTGTAGCAGTGTTTATTTTACAGGATGGGGTTGCTAGCCTCATGCCCAACCTTTCCTCTTTACCAGCATTATTTCTGGCTTAGCGAGGTAAAGGAGTGCGTCCAGTGGCCGGGGATCGAACCGCGGACCATGTGTATGGTCGGCGAGCGTCCTAACCGCTACGCCACCGACGTGCATGGTTAGCAAGGATTTTCAGGTATGCCTTTTTCCCTACCCACTAAGTTAATTAAAAGTTGATTTAGACTGCAAAATAACAATACAAAAGAAAGAACAACAACTAGACAACACTTTCATAAATAATTATACTTCACTTTTTAAAAGTTCTCAATTTCTCTTTTCTTTTTTTTTAATAATTAATCGGTTGGCACATAATTTCACAAAATAAATCAACAACATCAACAAAAATAATGTTTTTAAACGCTAATTTACTAACAACATTATCATCATTGTAAGTCACCATGACAACCGGCTGAAAAATATAAGCAAAGAAAAGAAAAAACCGCAATTGAAAGTGAGAAGAGAAAAGACGAACCAGAATTATAAAGACAAAAAAAGAGAGAGAAAGTTAAAGATAATACTTGGAAGATGAGAATTCATTCAAATCGAAGCATTAGTTTTGAAGTGAGAAATCAACACTAGTTAAACAGATGAGTCGATAAGGCTTACCGCCCTTCTAAGAGACACACCACAAACAAGTGAGTAAACAAACACCTCACCTGAAAAATAAATCTCAGGGTAAAGTAAAAAAAGAGACCAAAAGAAATAAGTTCAACGACAAATGTTTCATATATTTTGATTCTGGCTTTTTTCTCTTCAATATGTCATTGGTAAGATAAGTAATAATCGAATAGAACACATGATAATTATTTGTTAGGTAATCTGAATTTGAAGTATTCCAACTAAAATGGACAAAATCATCTCAATAAATAATATATATATTTTTTAAATTTTACTATCACGTCCTATAGATAGAGATGATGCATAGACAGGATAAGTATATATGTGAAAACAGACACGATATAAATATTTTATCCAAACATACTATACTACTTATCTATCATTTAAAAGTAGCTTAAAATTAACTGTGAAAAAAACGTCTTGCTTGTAGAGTTACTAACGTCTACTACCACACTACATGATACAATTACTATTACTACTAATAGTACTAATGGGAGGAAAATCTCAATTTGTATTGTACAACAATAATTATAAATAAATATGCATACAAAATCGTGTAGAGATAGATGTCAGGGTCTGGCGCTTACTATTATTATTACTATTATTATTAGTAGTAGTAGTAGTATAGTTGAATGATGAAACCAACTGCTAAGATCCAGCAAACAGTCATTCTGTGTGGATGTGTGCTTGACATGCATGCATGCATAGACGCACCGGCACACGTAAATAAATACACACACCGGCATAAAATAAAAAGCAAGAAAGAAAAAATGGGGTTAATTATCGTCTAAAGAAACACACAAAAATTAAAATAAAATCTGAACTTTATTTGAAAAATAGATAAATAAATAAAGATACGTGTGTGTCACGAGACTACAATCTGATATGAAAGAAAAAGGGAAAGAAATAAAAGCCAGTAAAATCTTGTGTAAGTGTGTCTTCTTGACAAGTGAAAAGCGACCAGAGAAGAAAAACTAAAACACAAAACAAACAACAATGAAATGAGAGATATCTATGCGTATAATGCACAAAACAGCAGTAGGAGGGAGACCACCGGAGAAATTACCAAGTATAGGGAAGGGGTGGGTTGGGGTAAAAGACAAAAAAACAGAGTTACTACTACCAGAAATAAACGGATAACTTCAGTTGTAAGTAGTCCTGTCTATCTCGTCCACCTCCTGTGCCTCACCTCATACAAAAACACCACAGAATTCAGTAAAACAGACTGACAGACAAGCACCACAATGCAGTGTTAATCAAATTCAGTAAATTCTTCAGTAAATAATACAGTTTCATATTCGACAAAACAATTCATGATGATGACAGTAAGTAAACAAATGAATAAATTAAAGTTAAGATCACAAAAACATTATTGAAAAACAGAACAATGGTGATTATGATGATGATAGGGGACCACCGCTCTCCTATGGCAATCAATCACTAAGGGTGGGGGAGACGGAAAGTAGGCATAACAAAACAATGGTAAAAATAATGAGACTACAAACAGAAACACACAAAAAAGCAGAGAATCTATGCCAAAGAAATATAGAGAACCGGTGACAATTGGACAATAAATAGTATTGTTCTTCTAGAGATAAATAAATCACAAAAAACAAACATTTAAAAAAAATGATGGCAATTCATTTAATTTGATAAGGTCAAAATTAGGCATAATCAAAAGTCAGGCGAACAAATATATAAATAATAAAATGATGAGATCATTAGAGATTAAAAGATCAAAACAAAAATAGAAATAAAACAAAACAAACAAGAAGGGGATACGATCTGTTGTAGGCGCGCGCACACCCGTCCATATATTTTTCAGCAGTAGTCCTCAAATTAATAAATGATGGAACAATTATAAACAATAAGTTAAATACTGAACAATCTCCCCAGTGAAAGAAAATAAAAAATATTTTGCATAAATGACAATAAGAAACACAAAGCACATCTCAGTAATGAAGATAAAGAGTAAAGGATTAAAAGTTCATACAATATAATTAAATATAAATTAAATCACACGCGCCCATATATCACTTCATTAAGCATGACTGACCGATTTGGTTTACAAGAAAGAAAAGGCAGAAGCAAAAAAAAAAACATAACGAAATTAAGGAAAGAAACTTTTTGTGATCGTGGCGGAGGGGAGTGGGGTAAACACAAGTAATCTTCTCCCCTCGCGCTCCTCCTCCACTGTCTAACATAAAAATATAGAGTTCAATTAAAACCTAGTCAATATTATTCAATTCAATGTTCAGCAAATATAATGTGTTTCATAAAAAAATTATTCATGATGATAATAAATAAATAAACAAATAAAAGTTAAAATCACAGAAAAAAATAAGACAAAAATGATAAATAAGTACGTGTCTAAATGGGTATTTGTAGTATGTATGTATGTGTGTGAGTGCGTGCGTGTGTCTGTGGATATGTATGTTTGAATATATGATGTTTGTATGTATGTGTTTGTGTGTTGAATGTATGTGTGTGTATGGATGATGATGGGCGCTTAAATCCATCTGTGTATCTATCTATCTATTATCTTCAACTCAGGCGATTATGCAATAATAATAATAGACAACGACACCGGCTGTCAACAGTTAGTTGCCTTAGATAACAATACCAATTACAAGAGACAGTGTGTTTGTGTGTGTGTGTGTGAGAGAGAGAGTGGGACGGGTGGGTACATGTACTCACACTAACTACTTACTCACTTTTTCCACACACACGCACGCACGCACGCAATGTGAGTACAAGTTAGCCAAAGAAGAAGTGGAAGGGATTCAAAAGGTGTGTTTGATAAGGATAAGGGGGAACGCGGTGAGTGAAACTAAAAACAGCGCCAAATTGTACACACACACACACACACATAACAAAGCAAAACCACAGGGGAGAAAGAGCGAGAGAGAGAGACATTTGATGTGTGAAAGACAAATAGAGAGGGAGGGAGAAAGAATAAAATCACTTATTAAGTTAGCTAGTTTCCTCACGTTTTGTCACATTTACGACGGACACGGAATCACTACTAGGAGTTTGTAGGGATAATAATGAATCACCACCACCTGATGATGATGTACAAGATCTTCTCGAGACACCGATTTCACACGATGATGACGGTTGTGTTGTTACTGCTGATGATGATGATGCTGATGTTGACGAGAATGGCATACCGGTAATAACAATATTATTATTATTGTTATTGTTATTATTACTTGTACTACTTGTAATCATTCCTGTCGTGGTTATTGTCGCTATCATTGGCTGCATATTAATTTGACTCATATTCATAACACAAGCAGCGGCGGCTGTCGACACCGATGACAATGGCGGGGTTGACAGTCTGGATAATGTAAACCACCACCAATAGTCGGTAGAAAGTGTTCAGATTCTATTGCCGGCAGTGACTGTTGGCTTGAAGTCATTGATGATTCACGTTTAATGTGCTCAATGGCTATTATATGCTCGATTACATTGGCTGCCCATTGAACATTGCCTTGCGGGCCAGTTATAGTGATATTACGCAACTGGCCACCGGACACATATACATTCTTCTGTGAAATTTGTATCACTGTACCTGTGACAAGTTGTAAGTCCATAATTGATCGACCTTGATGACCTAAGATAATATTGACCACATTTTCTGGTACCTAGGAGTACATGTGTGTGTGTACACAAGAGAAGGGGAAAAATGAATTGTTGTTGTTGAATTCGCCAAGAATGTAAAAAAAACACAACATGAAAGTGAACAACATAATGCACAGAAAGAGACATAGATTTATGAAAACCAGACAACCTTTAGGCCACAAAGAGAGTGAATCGATGACACTTTCATGTCAACTTTACTGGTGTCCACAACATTTGCAATATTTCTTCGTCTGAAGGAGGTATTGGAATCAGAGCCTATGGCGAGTTGTCGTCTGAAGTGATAACAACCAGTAGTGTCCATCAGGGGGGGGTGGGCAGGTGGTGCCCATCGTTCCCATCTTTGTTTAATTTAATCAAAAATGTACTGGTGGAATTGAGTCCAACTGACTATAACCACTTACACTAGTTAACTTGTTACCACAGAACAGTCTTATCGACTTAAAGTATACGGTGAATATTCTGACTAATTAAATTAACAAAGAAACTGTGTAACTGGCACAATCATCAGCGTGTTTTCACTCTCCGTTGTCTGCAACAGAATGCATATGCTAAATCCGTAGCTGTCGAGTCACCTGACAACTCCAGTAGGTCGAATAAAGCAGCTCAATCTTCAGAAAGAAGGCAAAGCAATAAGTCCGATAGGGTGCTTCTATTAAACGCTAATCCTAAACACCATAATTTTGAAAATACGTCTAATCATAAAATTCTAGATACTAACAGTTTGAACGGACATGAAGGCGTGATGTTAGCTGATGCATGGGAAATCCTTATTAATAAATAAAAATGGATATGTATCACTAATTATCAATACTTGGTCAAAATTCTCGACTGTCCATATCTTCTTATGGAGACGTTAAGAAATGTTTTACAACTGTTTACACACACACGCATGCACACTCTGTTTAAAGTGTTTAACAAAGGTAGACCAATATTTGTAAGTCCGAGGTCGAATTTTGATCACAGCTCATACAATTTCGTTTATTATACTTGTTGATACTTTTTGAATGACTCATGATTGGACAAATTTTCGAAAACAAGTGATGTTCCTTTTTATATATAAACCTATGTTATGTTAATTTCGATTAATTTCCCTGAAGAAGTTCGGACCAGATTGCCGAACGAAACGTTGGAATTACTCATTTCAATCTCGCTGAGACTTTACAAATATAATTTTTTACAAATGTCTACTTCTCACTCGGCGCCCAAATATTTTAGAACTATTCTCTCAAATCTTGATGACAGTTCATTTGAATTCTGACTAAATGCTGAGTCTTTTGAACACCTTGAGCAGAAATCTTCAAATGCTGGACATATATATATATATGATTACACCCCTGTCAAATGTAAGATGATGTTGTAAGAGTGGCCAGCACGGACTCATAGTTTATACATAGACAATGAGGTGAATAGTGGAGTGGAGCGTACTGACCAGTATTCCACCTATTTGGAAAGTCACATCAGTCATAATGTTCACGCACTACTCTGAAATCGGTGTAGACATTTAAAAAAGATAAAATTACTTATATTGACAAAGGTAGTGGTAGGATCTGAATTTCGGTTTTTAACCAACCTTAGTATCAAGTCAGTCAGTGGGTGCTTCTATATATGGCTCAGACGCTGGGCACATACTGCAGACTTTGTTCATCGACAGACCCTAACCCATCACCCACCCATTCAATGTCTCGATAATGAAGCGACAAGGACATTTGACAGTTAAGCAAACCAGCAGCCAACATCTTACTGCCTAATAAATAAATATGTCAAAAGAAATGGAAATGCTTGGGGATCAGACATACACTCTGATGAGTAGACCTTTGAAGTAATTATAACACGCCAGTCAAGCCACATGGATGAATGGTCAAGGCGAATAGGGAAGTAATGACTTGAGCATCGGTCTGAGGTGGACATGGAGAAGATATCATGTGAAGACCATGAAATGAAAGCCTATGGATGCGATGGGACAGTGGACAGTCATGACAGCCAGCTGTGAAACTACCGATGGAGAACAGACTACGAGACTCAAGAAACGAACAAAAATAAATAATTATAATAATATAATCATTGAATCTTTTGTGTTCCGATTGTAATATAGGGCTTTAAGCCTTAAGCTTTATTTAGAGTTTCAGTAGCATTGGTATTGTCTCTACGGAGTGTGTGGCCGATACCTTAACACCCAACACTCCCTCTTCATTTAGCTTATTACCAGTTAGGTGAGGTTCAGTGGTGAGCCGGTCGGGAATCGAACTCCCAATATATATATGCCTGATTGGCGAGTATTCCACCTCTGAATCATGGACGCACCACCAGTCATAATAATAAGTTAATAATAATACTCACGGATAAAACACGCCTGTAAGCAACATAATTTCCAACTGGATTAACCATATTCGATGGTAACGCTGCTGTTGCTGAAGATGATCCCGATGCTCCCGCGTACTGTATTCCATGGAGTCCAAGGAGATTGGATGGAGAGGGTAAACCACCACCAGTAGCTTGTGGTGAACTTACAGTTCCACTGCCGCCCAGAACAAGAGGTGATTGCTGTTGCTGTAGCCCTTGTAGATTCTTACCGCCACCACCACCACCACTCTCTGTGGTAAGTGATAACAATAATGATGAAGCTGATGGGATATTGGAAAATGACATAGACATAGGATCATTAGGCAGTATCTGTGATGGTGTTGCTGGCGTTGGTGCTGAAGGTGGTTGTGGCGGGGCGGGTAAGATAGGTCCAACTGTAAGCGATGACAACGACGGTGGTGAATAAGGCAATAGACCGAGTACAGCAGCAGCCGCAGCAGTACCAGGATTAGGTAAGACCGGTAAAGACTTTGCAGTACAACACGAGGTTAACGGTGACGATGGTGACGATGAGGATGATAGTACAGTTGTTGCTGTTGTTATCGTGGCGGCAGCTGAAAGCGCAGCCAATGCAGCAACTGATGGTGAAGTCAGTAGCGACGGCAAAGTAGACGGAGTACTGCATGCTGGTGAAGAACACGTTTCAGACAACAGTGGTATACCTCTTGTAGCTAAATGATGAGGATGACTCTGCTGAGTAGGTAAACTCCCATATCCAAGTGCTGGATAACCGAACAAACCGGTAGGCGACATATGAAGTGGTCCTGTAAATATACAAAAGAAGAATTGAAACAAAATGAAATACAACAGTAAAGTTATTAATAAAGTCAATGCATAGGGGATTTTGATGCGGAGTGTTTCAGTTGAGAGGCAAGCGTCACTTCATTCCTTAGTCACATGCATATCATAGTGGTAACATATTTGCGACAATACTACTGTGTCTGAAGACTGCTTCAATTTCTGTTTGGACTCAATCACCCGAGACAGATTTTTTTATCAAGCCGTGAGACGTATTTATCGTGCGAGGGCTGCCTCTGGGTTGAAGCAGGCGGGGCAGGACTTGAACACGTGACCCATCGATTGAAAATAATGTGCTTAAGCCAATGAGCCACATCTTCTTCTGCCAGCTGGTAGTATCACTAGCACTCACGAACAATAAGTGCTTGACTGACTGTCAGTGCCAACATCAAGAATTAAGAGATACATAACACACTGGTTACTCCTGAATTCCAGAACGGTTGACTGATGTGGATGTAAATCTTCGGGGAGCTAGTCAACCTATACGTCTTCTTTTGATCAGAGAGAAAACGCAAGCATGAAGAGGACATGAAATGTCTGCACCATGTCGAAGTTTGGTTGATACGGCTGATAAGATTTTAGGAGAAATGGGAAGTAAGGTATGGAGATTATCTGTGACAGGAGATGGATTTATAAAAGTGGACTCTCCAAATTATTAACCAGGTACTCAATAATCTTTTTACTTTCATCCGAGTGATAACCACGAGCACACTGAGTATGTATAGCTGTCATATGACATCACAACAGCATTGGAATCGCGCAAGCATTGAATCGACAACTAAGCCTCGTCAGGACCACTAAAGTAAGTTTCACCTCAAAAGCGAAGGAAAGCTAATCGATAAGAATGGACTGTAATTTTCCTTATGCGGTTGAACGCAATCTGCAGGAAGACCTGGGGCCAGGTTTCGTGCTTGTTGGCACTTACCAGTCAGCAAGGCGTATCTGCGATCTTGAAGGAACTCATGTCTCTTCTTTAGATTCGAACCCACACCACCCACTGCTGCAGTCAGAGATCAAGGCATTCTACTCGAACTCATGCAGCCAGGTGAGGGCTTACGGCGAGTTGTCATCTGAAGTGGTGACAACTAGTGGTGTCCGTCAGGGATGCCCATTATCCCCATTTCTATTCAATTTCATCATAGATGTATTAGTGGATTTAACCCTAACTCACTTCAGCGACTCAGGGATTGACTTGCTACCAGGGAATTATCTTGTTGACTTAGAATATCCAGATGATGTAGTCCTTCTAGGCAAGGATGCTGACGAAATGCAGTCTTCTGAACACCTAGAGCTGCAATCTACGAATGTTTGGCATGCGATTCGCTCCCGCTAAATGTAAGATGATGTTACAGGACTGAACTACACTGACTCCTAGTTTAGAAATAGGAAGTGAAGTGGTAGAGCACGTTGACCACTTCACTTACTTGGGAAGTACTATCAGCCCCAATGGGTTGATCTCTGACGAAATCTCAGCACGGATACAGAGGGCTAGTTTCCCATATGCCAGTTTACGCCGTCTCTGGCGTAGACGTGATTTCGGCTGGCTATCGACCAAGGGGTGTGTGTACTGCTCAGCAGTCTGCTCCGTCCTCCTCTGTGGCTGTGAGACCTGGCTGTTGAAAGTGGAAGACATGAAAAGGTTAGCTGTCTTTGATCATAGGTGTCTGCGTTCTATCTCCCGTGTGAAGTGATATAATAAGGTGAGCAATATTGAGGTAAGGCATCGGTCGAGTGCTAGGTAAGGAGGGGAAATCAATCTACATGGCTGTGAAATTACATCGACTGAGGTGTTTAGGACATGTGTTACGATTGCATGCCTAGTCATCGCCTTTCTCGACAGGCAATGTTAGCTGACATAGGATTGGTCAGGCTGGAAAAGAGCTAGCGGTGGTCAAACGGAAACATGTATTCACCAGTCAATGAAATCCACAACAGTTAGTCTAAGACACGTAGGGAGGTGCAGACTTCCTCACTGGTTGGGGTCCTCGAGACAGTAAAAACCAATGGTTGGAAACAATTGGTGACATGGCTCCAAATCGTTCTCAATGGCTGGCGCAGATGCATGCACTCCTTGTGACTTATGATTTCCAATTAAACTGTTTTGTTCTTCGTTATTACTATTCCTTTGTCTCACACCTCTGTGTACTGTCTCTAATATGTATTTCTCCTACATTCTTCTCTTGCTTTGTGTGCTACAAAGATGGAATGTGGCGACTTGAACTTCCGCACATATGTGCAAAGTTCTATGTCGAATACAGACAGACAGTCAGAGATGTTACTACTGTGCTATCAGCACTTGTGATTGACTTCCTCCAGGACTATACTAGATATTTTGATTGAACACTGGGTAGCAATTAATGTCATGCGTCTAGTCCCTCGTTCGGTTACAGACTGATTTCTGTCAGTGAAGTTTTTAATGTGGCCAGCATACTAGGTAACTCACCATCACCATGTGGCACCCCTGGACACGGGTTCGAATCTCAGAAGAGACATGAGTTCCATCAAGATCGCAGATACGCCTTGCTGACAGGTGGTCACCAACAAGCACGAAACCTGGGTCTAGGTCTTCCTTTCTCCAATCAACTAACAACAACTTACAGAGTGCACTGGTGTGGCGAGTCAGCCAAATCATGGCCAAATTGTAAAACTGACTGACTGATAGAATTTGGCCTATACGAATGACTAAACGCATGTCATTAGTGTTACTATCTGGTGTACAATCAAAGTCTTCAATTAACGCGAAAGAAAGCATAACTGGTTGAGAAAGAAACTATGAGAAGATAACATATATCTATGGTCATATGAAATATAATAAAGCATATTCTAAATTCTTTTATTAAGGCAAACAAATACATCACACAACCTACCTGGGATGAATGATGATGGTGGGAAAAAGACCGGAGGTGATACTGCTGTCCGCGTCGACTGAGAATCTTGTGGTTTATTGGCGGTAAATGATGAAGCCGCCAAAGCAATTGATACATTTACCGGTGTAGCAGCATTTGGATCGGGTAGGCCAGTGTCGAACCCAGTTTGACCAGAAATATTTGACCATGGAGTAGAACTACTGGCACCAGTCGGTGAAAATATATCTCCAGACGACATACTATTACTTGAGGTTCTACCATTTACAGCGTTTGCAAGCATAGACGGCAAAATAATCGATCCGGCGGCTGGATTCGACACTAGAGCTGCCAGTGTTGCAACATCCGATGTTGATGAAAGATTGCCGGGAAAAAAACCGAATCCAGGACCTTGTGATGAAGGCTGACCATGTGTAAATGCTGCTGAAGCAGAAGCAGCGGCCATCATAGATGCGACAGCTGCCGCTGCAGCGCCAGCAGGTGAATTAACATCAACTGGAGGATTTGGCAATGCAGTAGGATTGGATAAATAAGGAATAATTGGAATGGCATAGGGTGAACCGGTTGGATAAACACTGGCTACGGGTCCTTGAATGTCATGATAAGAGAGATTTGGGCAACTTGCTGATTGTGGGTCTGCAGCGATAACACCAAGTATAAGATGGACAGCTGCTCTTGTTTGATCTAATTCACCTGGAATAATAAAAAAACACAATATAACATAACTCCCCTTGCAGAAACCAAAAACAAAAGTGAGGAAATTAATATGCTGTATCTTACTGTTGCATTCAGTAAAATGGAATCAGATTCCGATTTTCAACACAAATAATTAAGCGCTTCTATATGATGCAGAAGATGTAAAGTGATCCACAACGGAAAACTCAGCGAGGCGTTTGGAGTAAACACAGGAGTCAGTCAGACAAGGGTGTTTATTATCACCAATGTTATTCCTAATTGTGGTGGACTGGATTATGCGTCAGACAGTGGGAAACGAGCAGACAGGGATATCCTGGACCGACGTGAAGAACCTAGAAGACCTGGATTTCGCGCGTGGATGATTTATGTTTGATGTCACACAAAATCGAAGACTTACAAGCGAAAACCGACAAACTAGTCGAAGAAGCAGCAAAGACAGGACTCCAGGTGAACATAGACAAGACGGAGGTTATGAAAATAACCAACCAACAACAACAGCAACATTCAGCGCCAATCACCATCAACCGAAGGGATTTGATGAAAGAGGTTACTTCATTCACTTATCTAGGGAGCAATGTCTCAACTACAAGAGGAACGGACGAGGATGTCAAATCGAGAATCGGGAAACACGAGAAGAGAAACACATTCATCAACCTGAAACAAATCTGGAAATCTTCGTCACTCAACTCAGCATCAACAACAAAGTGATTCGGATTTTCAATACAAACGTCAAGTCAGTCAGTTCTTCTATACGGATGGATCAGAAACTTGGCCAGTGGGTCACAAAGAATATTTCCAACAGCCTGTTGCAGACCTTTATCAACAACTGTCTTCATTCTATACTTAAGATCTGATGGCCGGAAACAATCACCAACAAGAAACCATGGGAACAAACAAAACAAGAACCAATCGCCCAACAAATATGCAGGAGAAAGTGGAGATGGATTGGACACTCGTTGAGGAGGCCGCTGGGTGACATCGCACGTCAGGCCATCACTCGAGTGGAACCTGAAAGGGAAGCGGCGAGTGGGACGTCCAAGGGTGGGTGACATGGAGGAGATCGTGTGAAGAAGAGTTGAAACAGTATGGACTAACATGGATGCAGGTGAAAAGTACAGCAGAAGACAGAAGCAAGTGGAGACGTGCAGTTGAAGCCCTATGTTCCATTAGGAACCCAAGGGAACAATAATAATAATAATATGATGCAGAGACGACCTACTGTAGACTTTCAGTCTTTACCACACACACACACAGCACACTTCACACTGGATACAGCTTTGAAACCATAAAGTACCAGTTAACAATAGAATGGTTACACAAATAAGCCATCCTCATATGCTAGTTTTTTGATGGGTGAGATTGTAAGCCTCAAGCACAAACTCTCCTGTTTCCCATCAACTAGACAAGGCGTAGGAATCCGTCAGTGGCTAGGAATAGTACCGGAACCACGTGTATGGTTGGCATACCATCCAACTGAAGAAGGTACAGTTTGATTCCAGGGCGACAAACTCCTGAATCTCGCTGAGCCGGTGATAAGTTCGAAAAAGAGAAGTTGGTCGCGAGGGTGCTAATGAAACTTCAAAGCTTAGAGCCTTATGTTCCACTCAGAAGGCAATGAATGATAAAAAGAAAGAGCCTACAATTCCACACTTACCAGCAACAACGATACAACGTTCTAATAGATTGAATTCACGTGATTTTTGAGAAATTTGTACATAAGCTCCAGTTTTTTCTTTTATCTCTTGAATGTAAGATCCACCTTTGCCAATAACCATACCAGCCGTACTGTTTGGTACTAAAATTTTCACCTAAACATAAAAAAAGCAATCAAGTAATAATAAATATTATAGTAATTAACCAGCGCTCACTGATCACTACTGTACAGCAAACATTCTTAATTATATCAATTAAGCATCAGTTATCGCTTGGATAGATTTCCCAGCTGGTGTGGGCAACCGGGAAGTAACAGCTGCCTAAAAACTTCCAAAAGCACAAGAAGCTCTCCTGATCATCACCCGCCTTTATCTATGTCAACATGATCTTGCCTTCTCCGACAGTCAGCCAGATTTCCCAAGCATCCAGCTATGCAAGAGCCACACTTTGAGTGTGTGTATGAAAGCTAAATATGCTTAGTAATTCAGTTGCTCAGGCTGAAAAAGTGTATAGTGACAACCGACCTTACAATCATCCATTGACTGTAAGTTAAAGTACGCGTGGTATTTGAGACGCACGAGGCAACTCAGATAAGTAGTGTGAATAAAATCTCAATAATCAAGCGGCTGTGTAATGTGTATTCGACAGCAAGCTGAATAAGTCAAACACTATAAGTTGCTACGTTCTAATGTTAGATGGTTGAAGACAGACAGTGGAACGTCTCTGAAGAATTAACATTTCTGCTAGTACTATTTTTTTAAGCTCCTTTGCGTTCCGAGTGAAATATATGTGACTTAAAGCTTCAGCCTTGAAGTGTTTCAGTAGCGCGGGATTCTTCTTCTATCGGATGGAATTGCTTGCTATAGTGTGACTCTCAGTCCTCACTGTACCATATCAACAACCAGTTAAGTGAGATTAAGGAGTGCATCGACGACCGCGGATCGAACTCGGATCTCCCATGCATCGTCGGCGAGCATTCTACTCTCTCTCTCTCTCTGCCAATACGCATTCATCAAGGAGTAAGGTTTATCAAGTGAGTAAAAGTTTCTCATACTCAAATCTTTTTTTTCCTTCACGTTCCCCAGTGGAACATAGGGCTTCAAGCTAGTGGCTTGAAGTTTCTGTAGCAGTGTTTATTTTTACAGGATGGGGTCCCTAGCCTCATGCCCAACCTTTCTTCTTCTTCACCAGCTTTACTTCTGGCTTAGCGAGGTTAAGGAGTGCGTCGGCCAGGGATCGAACCCCGGACCATCTGCACAGTCGGCGAGCTATGCCACCGACGCGCTGAAGTCTTTAATATGAGAAAAATACTCCTCTAAACGTCGAAGCAAAGAGACTGATTTTTGCATAATCCATATGATCGCAGTAGTATATATATATATATATATGTTTCTTCTGTACATGTGCGTCCAAGTGTGGCACAAAGACAATCATGTGAGAACATTGGGGGGATTAAAGCTTTTAGGCGGTAAAAACGACAGCAGGATACAATGGACATGTGCCATGCTGAAGTCCTACATCCCAACTCGGAAAGCCAAGAACGCATAATAACACTGATGATAATATTAGGCTACAAGTAGGCGAGATATGTAGACTAAATCTCGAGACAATGTGAGATAGTGATCAAGAGAGAACAATAATGAAGGATTTATGACTAGTACGGACAATGATGAATAGGGGCTAAATGACAACTCTAATGATGATAATGATGATGATGATGATATAACGATGAATTCAAGCAACCAAAATATGAGAAACAAAATCAAAACAAATGTGACCAAATCAATGAATGAAAGCAAAAACAACAGAAAAAAAACAACCCACGCAACCTCACCCCCAACCACAACCCATTATTCCACCTCTGTTAATTTTCCCCGCCATTCCACACCTCTATTTCGATTGCCTACCTGTTTATGACGTTCAACATTCAATCGACCATCTCCAGTTGTATGCGGATTAGGATCAGGCTTTTCCATAATTCGATCCATTATATAATTGTGCACAATGATAACACCATCGAATGATCCAGTGATTAGACAAACACGTTCCGTTGTACCTGAGTGAGAATGATGATGACGACGGTGATGATGATGATATTTGATGAGGATCACATGTGAACAGACACACGCACACGCAGACACGCACGCACGCACACGCAGATACACAGACACACACACACAGACGGCCCAAACACATATTCAGGCAGGCAAGCAAGCAAGCAAGCAGGCATTGATACAACAGAAACATCATCATACAGGCAGCAATAATTATTAGTGTATTGTGATAATACGGCCAATACCAAAACACATCATAAACCTCATCATAGACCAATACAAGATCAGACGTACAGTTTTGAATGAATACGTGATGAAAATAAAAGAAGCAAAATACTGATAGTTTTGCCTCGTTCACAACGATAATACTAGTAATAATAATAGTAGTAATAATAATAATAGTAATAATAATGACGATGATGAAAGCATGTATACGATGAATATACATGTATTAGTTATAATATATATATATATATATATGTATATATATATATATATATGCATATATATATATATATATATACAGTGGATGATAGAGAAGGGAAACGGACTCAATATATGCCGGTAAGTTTTGGCATAATGCTACATATAGTATTACTAGTAGTGATGCGGTATAGAGGATGACAGTAATGACGGAAACGATGTATTAATAATGAGAGTAAGGATAATCATATACAATTCTCCTCCTATTCCTTTACGTTCCAAGCGGTCTTCGAAGTTCCACTGGCGCCAGTAGTGATGATGGTGTCATTAGTCGAACGCCGAAAAACCGCGCTTTTCTCTCCGACCTTACAACTAACTGCCTGATAATCGAATCAGAACTAGATGAATGTATTGTGGTCAATGGGGCATTCTGCCGTTGAACCAACGACGCAATAATGCAAATAAAGGAGCAGTAATGATCTAAATAATTCAACGTAATCATCTCTTCACCTATATATATGACTAGATCAACACTTGAAAGAATTGTACAGTGTCTACAGTGATAAAGATAAAGTGTTTAAGGCAAATATACGGGGTAGGGATTTACATAGCCTCATTATAGCGAAAATATTCATTCAGACATCTATATGAACACAAAATAATTGAGCAGAGAATATCCCTTTCAATAATTTCCTCCTCTTCTCGCTCTACAATTATATATATATATATGTTTATATGCATAGAATATTCTAGATTAGTAGTCAATAACAATATTAGTGTTTACTAAATAATATCGATTTGTAAAGTAAGATCACAATGGAATTACAGTTCATTAAAGATGCTTAAATTATAATAATAATAATAAAGATATAGTAGCAAATAGAATATCAACTAAAATTAGGAAAATTCCACAAAAATTTAGAATCATTCAAACCTAGATGGCCAAAGTAAGGACAGTGTCTGAACTAGCTTCTTTTGGACGCACAAATTAGGCTTGTTAATATGGATCCCAACAGTCAGCCTCAGCAATATTTAGTAGTTAAACTCTCAAGGCGAAATTGAGATTTGTTGGTATGCGGTAAATGACCCTGAAAGCATGGTTAACATCAATCTTGTGTTCTGTATCCACAAGATGAGATTAAATAGCGCCGCGAATAGATTTTGTTTGTCCTTTACTTAACCACTATGAAGGGTGATGTTCGGAAATTCGACGAGAAACACGCCTAATTTTACGGCCTATATAACTGACTCCACATGAGCAGTTAAATTGGTAGATACACATGAAGGTGGCGACATTAGGCAGTTTGTCTTTTACTCCCGAACGCAAAAGAGGACAAGGTTTTGAAAACATAGCGTAATTCGGCAGCAGGAAATGCTCTTTTTGCCGCTTACCAACAAATCTCATTTTCGCCTTAAGAGTTCATCTACTACAAGTTGAGAGTAATACAATGTAATATAGTTAAGTGGAGTGAGAGAGGTTAGTCCCTGAAGCTTTGTTTATCGATTCAACAGAGCACACGCGCAATCGGAATGACGCAACGCCGCTTATACCGGAGATATTAAAAGTGACAACAAAAGACAAAGGGAAGTTAGAGAGACAGAGAGAGGGAAAATGTATATAAGACAAACTGTGAAACCGTGTAACTAAACTGATATGATTATGAGCAGCAATAAATTATGCTCGAAACCGTGTCATCCAGTTGTTAATACACTGCATCACTGTGTGATTATCAAAATAAACTTATCGAATACGAGATTACATTCTACCACCCTGCACAAGTTCTACAATTACACTAAAACAACACTGTGTTTAGAATTAGATCTTAACCGGCTTTACTCTAATGTACAAAACTTTACGAAAAAGTGATTGATATTCAATATAAACCAGTCATAATGATTTGCCGACTGGATGATACGATTGTTGTGCAATTAGTCATAATAACCTCGCCTAGTTAACTAACTCGCTAGTTTTCTAGCCAGTCAAAAGACCCAGTAACAGACAGGGTTAGCCGTACCGATAGAAACCACACAACACTACACCTATCAAACCGATAGACAAACTTCAACACACACAGAAAATATATTACAAATACAGAACTTCAAATAACAACAATCTTATTCTTCGCTCGAATCGGAGAGGCGAAATTACACAGCCGACCGGTGAAAGCTTACTATCAGGGAAGCCAGTCAGCCAGTCAATGTGTCTTCTTCTCTCGATGAAAGCAGGAATAAGAATGGGGACGTGGGATGTCCACACAATGGACGAGACTGGCTGGGAAGGCTGACCAGGGAGCTAAAGAAATCCGAAGATATGGCATACAAGTGCTGAGTATCTGCCACAGCAGATACAATCGATGTTGACTGTCAAAACTGTCAAAGGGAGAGTCAGTAATCTACTCCCGTCTGGTCATCCACACAACAACCACGAACACACTGAGACAGTGAATGGCTATCATGATGTCATCAGAGGCAGCCACAGCCCTAATGCAGTGGGAACCAATCTCCTCATCCAGGATCATGACAGCAAGATTCAACTCAAAAAGAGGGAAACCTACAATCATCCGGTGCTAGACGCCTACAAACAATTCTGACTTAATCAAGAAGAATGAAGATTTCTATAGACAACTGCAAACGCTAACAGACAACATCCCAAATGGCGACATGACCTCAAAATCCTC